AGGCTTTTTAACGCGTACATTAGGGCGGGTTAGAGCTGAGGATCTCTGTTCGTCGACTTTAATGAGAAAGATACAGAAACAGAGATTTGGCAGACTTCACAGATACCGGGGAGCATGCCATTTTCTCTATGGCATGTGTGTGTGTGTGCATCTTGCCATCTGTGGTCTGGCGCGCTGTGGGGTCGAGGTGACCAGGTGTCTGTTTGCATGGACAGAGTTGAACGACCTGGATGGGACTCAGGTGTTTTTTAGCCACTCGGCTTTAAAAAATACACAATTCTTCTTCACTTCCAAATAAATCCTCTGCAAAGTTTGGATTTTTGACTATGTCCGACATCAACATGCCACTGAATGAGTTTTGATACTTTTGCAAAATTAGGTTAAGAAATGACACCTAGATCAAGATTTTTATTTTTTTTTATTATTATTTTTTATTATCAGCTGGGAAAAGTGGGGAAATACCCTGGGGCTCCAGACCTCCAGGGAACCAAAAAGATCCAGGCTTATTGTATGTCAAAGTGTGCTTATTTAATTATCATTTTGTTTGGGAATATGTGCTACTAAAGAATCAACTAACAATATAAGAAACCTCGAACTGATTTTGTTTTTTACAACCTTTAATATCCTGGTTTTGTGCTTCTAAGCTTTCCTAAATGAATGTGTTTTGTTAAATTAAAAAGGAGCAAACGTGGGGACAGGTAGTCTTGGAGTTATATGAGGGAGGAATACAGGGTTAATAGGGACCCAGCAACTCATATTTGCCCCGGGGGTGTCTAGATGGTTGATTTGGACTGCTGGTGGTTCTCAAAATCAGAATCAAAATAAATCCGCTTTGTCATTAGGGATAAAATCTGAAAAAAGTGATGACAAAGGGTCTAGGTGGCCAAGTGGCAGAGCTCATTTGTAATCTTGGATGTGGTTTGTTTATTCATTACTGTGAAAGCACTGCGCAATGATCTGAGAGAAAGAAAGAGTGTACCTGAACAATGTCCCTCTCAGCATATCTTCCTCTGGATGAGATTCTGACCTCATCGCCGTCCAACTCAATCATAGCTGAGGAGAATACAAATAGAATAAAAAACTCTTGTGCAACTCAGACAGATTCTACAGAGTAGTTTCTTACACATAAATATCACTCACAAGTCCACAACTTCTTGTTTACTTACCATCGAATTCTGCAGGTCCCACCCCCACAATTATGATTGACATTGGCAGACAGGAGGCCTGCAGGAGAAGAACAATGAACACTTGATGAGTTTTTCATTTTTAACATTTTGGTGAAAAACTGTTGGTGTCTACCCTCATAGTCGTTCATAGAATAAAGATGAGCTACAGGTCAACATAAACAGCCTCTATCTTCATCAGGGGCAAACAAAGCACCAAGTGTCATGTATAGTACGTACAGTATGTGTAAACATTTGTGTGAATCTTTGAATCGTGTTTTTTTTTTGCACAGCACCTCCTGGAGGGATGCGTGGGTCGAGACATCACAGTGAATAATATTAGAGACGAGAGAATCAACAACACTGCCTGAGCCCACTGACAGCTTACAAATGACATGTGTTTGTGTGTGTGTGTGTGTGTGGGTATGTGTGCCACAGCGCGTGCATCAGAACGAGAGGGCCAGCGGCGTGTGTTCAGTGTATTTGAGTAATGGGTTGACCTCGGGCAGCAGAGCAATAGATGATCTTATCAAAATATCTCGTTTATTTTTTGCTCCCCTCGGTAAACGTCTACTGGCCTTTGCTCTGTTTTTTTCTCTTCTTCCTCATCTCTGCCACCTCTTTCTACCCTGTCGCCTCCTTTTCCTCCCTCAGCCTCCTGTTCTCCTTAACATTTCACTCTCCTCAACCTCTCGTCTCCATCTCTGCTTTCAAGGGGCTGCGATGGATCACTGCCTTCACATAAATGGCCGCCGTTCACGTTGTGTTTGCATTCTACATGGTATGCTATGACTTGACAGAGATGGAGGGTGAATTACATGCTGTCAAAAGTGAGGGCGACACAGCAAACGCTGAAATAAAAAACAGTAGTAAAGGCTCCCCAGTCACATCGTATTTCTGTTGGCTTTGCAAGGAGGGAAGGATGTCCAGGAATGAGTAAAAATATGTGCCCACACCAAACATTTGGACAATGTCTATTAACTGAGGCTGAGGCTTTTGTACTGCATGGATCCGGTAGATTTAAATTATATGTAAGGCCAACAATATGTGCTTTTTCTCCATGTAGTAATTCTATTGTCAATACATCTATAAGCTGACAGTGATCCGCCTAACAGCCTAATTAGGAAATCACACGCACAGCTATTTTCCAGCTTTCATTCAGAGGCAGATTTTTGCTCTCAGGAGCGAAAAAAGAAAAGTAATGATGACGAGGATTTAAGAGACATATTTTTGCCCAAATGTGATAAGTTCTCAGGCCATGACAATTCTGCTCATTTGCATACATGTTTTCATGGTTTTGTGTTCAAGCACCAACGCGTTATGACATGCGTCACCCTACTGCCTAATTACACTGTTAATTGCAAATGTTTTCCATGGTGAATTCTTTTCTTTTTGGAGAAATGTCTATTTTGATGAATACCCCTTTTTGGGGTTTTTTCACCCCCTTGCTTTTTACACCATTCACACAGCTAGCTAGCTCAAACATGTCTATACAGCTAAATAAATAAATAATTAAATAATAGGAACAAAAAAGGAACAAAAGCAGCAAAATACTTTCTACTAAACTGTTATCTCTACAGAAACCACCAGTAACTGGTCTGTCTTTTAGATACAATCTACATATATTATAGGTTCTCATTAAATCACAAGCTGTCTTAATGGCACCATTCTCTCTTCATTTGTCTCCTTTGTTTTTAATGTTCTGACTTTTGCATCTGTCTTTTTATGTGTTATTTTTCATCTTTTGTGAAGCACATTATATTGGATCTTTTTGTATAAAATCTGCTCTATAAATGAAGTTTGAGTACTTAGGGATTGAATTGTTCATTGTATTTTTCCTTTTAGGCTCTGAGAGAACAGTCCTTCAGATAAGAGACACTTCTTCGCTCCTGAATGAAGAGCCAAATGATTTCACTGGGAGAAATTTTGGTGCAGACGCAGACTCAATAGTCCTTGTGATGTGAGGCTGGATCAGATCCTGGCAGTGTGCATTGAGCCTGAGCATGCAAACAAACCCGTGTAAAACCACCTGCTTCGACCTTATTCAGCAACAATGTTCCTGATCAGAGTAAGCCAGCTTTCATTTCCCAATTGTGTCAGGTGCGTGAACACCGGTATACTTGCTTATTATCACCATTAAAGCCCCTTATAGATGCAACTGATGTTTCTCTAACTAAAAGACTGTGAAGAGAGGACATCCTCTGTTTATTCTTTTGTTTTGGGGGGTCAGAATGCAGGGTCAGATGTTACAGAATATGCACTTACATTGACAATAGACTCCTTGGTCTGGGCCATGTCTGAGATGACGCCGTCTGTGATGATGAGGAGCACAAAGTACTGGGAGCCGTCCTTCACTGAGGCTGCATACCTACGCACAAAAACACACAAAACCATCTTTGTAGTTATTTCTTTGCTGCCATCTTCATTCGTTTACCATGATGATTGACTACATGATAATATCAAGCATCATTCTGTGTACTTTTAATTAATTAAACTACTTAGCTTGTTCTCAAATTAAATACAGTACAGAAAATGATTTCTCTCATTGAATAAATGTCACTTACCTCCTACTCTGGAGGATCTTAATCTGTCAAGTGCTTCTCTCTGTACATCTATCTTTATGTCAATTCTATAGATCCTCAGCTCAATATAGCTTTCAATTTCTCCCGAGATGTTGAGTGTGACCTTTTACTCCCATGTGGTCGTGAACTGACTGTTACTGATATTTACACACTGAGATTACTGCAGTCGCAATGGCTTCTGCTGCGCTCCACCTTTCTACACCGAGAGGTTAGTTTCTACCTCCTCTCCAATATAGATAGCTGATATTTAAGTACTTAAGTCTCACGCTGTAGATGATCACAATATAGCAGAGGCAACAACTAAAGAGAGGCAGAGAGAGGAGGAGCAGGGCAGAAGTAAAGTGAATAGTTACTAAGCTGCATGTGGGAGTGAAGCAAGACATTGAAGAGAAAAAGGGGGCAGTTATTGAAATATGAGGGCAGTCAACAAACAGAGGAGAGGAGGTGGAGGTGGGATGTAGGGGCTGGGATTACAGATGAAAAAAACATGATGACAACAGCCTGTACTTGGTAACATACTGTAAGCAGGCTTGAACTTGACAAATAGGCAATATAGATGAAAGAAAGTTCCTACATGAATATGCAACGCCTAGTTTTAAAAGTTTTCAATTAGGTTTTCGGAGGAAGAGTTTGTAGAATGTGTGCTGATTAGCCTGGTACTTATCAAACTGGGCTGAACTGATTATTAAAGTTAAATCTTACAGCAAGAACAGTTAATGAGATGTAGACTGGCTGAGAGCGGCGAGGGGTTTATGGAAAAAAAGAGAATGCAGCAAAACAAAACAAAACAAACAAAAAAAAAGAGAGAAGTAAAAATAAGAAAACAGAAAATGGAAGATTAGGAACAGCTGTGCCAAAGATCGACACCATTATAAGTGAAGCTACAGCCAGCCATGTTAGCTTAGCTTAGCATGAAAGACTGGAAGCAAGGGGAAACGTGTGTGGAAAAGTGTGAAGTAATAAAATCCCCACACCTCTAAAGCTCACTGATGCACAACTCATTTATTAATATATCTATATCTAATTTACCTTTGTTAAATCCTTCCAACCAATTAAGTACAACACATAACACCCTGTAAAAACATTTTACTCATCAGTTTATGTGTGGTGTAAAAACTAACATCTCCGAGCTGTCGCTTCCCTTCCTAAGAAAGCCTGCTAGCAGCTCTGAAATTCTCTTGGAGTTTAGAATAATCAAACAAGATTCAACATGTTAATTAGTAAGCTTTAGAGGTGTGTACTGTTGACTTGTGCTAGGCTAGCCATTTCCCCCTGCCTTTAATGCAAAACTAAGCTAAGCTTATTGCCTCCTAGTTTCAGCTCCATACTTAACATAAAGACATGAGTGACAGCGGTATCACTCTTCTCATCTAACTCTCAGCAAAAAAAAAACAGTAAGCGTAAATTCCAAAATGTTTAACTGCTTTTTAAAAGGAGAGAAAATCAAGATTTTGATGTAATTACTGTAAAAGGAGTTGGTGATTAGTTTGTAAAAAACAACATAGCAGAGAGGGAAGTTCATTAAGGGGGTTTGATAGAAGGACACAGTCAGGAAAAAGGAGTATAAGGTATTCAGGTGACACTATAGGCTAAATAAAAGCAAACTGCTGCCTCTGTATTACTGCTTGTTTCACCATTTCACTTTCATAGTGCCTTTGCCTCTTCGTGTGTAACCACGCAATTAAGATTTCTGTAAATTATCTTCGAAATATGTGATGTAACCTGATGAGAGGCTTCACTTGAATTCATCTCTTTAATTACATACTTGCATGAATAGTTCCTTAATGTCTTTTTTTAATTTCAGATTTTTGTCTGGATGACGTGTTCATGTGGCTTTCCTGCTGAATAAATCATGTCATCATCCACACAGAGACACAAACAAACATGCAATCAGCTGTCAGGTACTTTCTCTGTTTGTGTCTCTAGTTTTTTTTCTCTCTTCCTCGAACTCTTGTTAGCTATCTGGCAACACTTGCTGCTCTGAGCTTATTACAGAAAAACTGGGAACACATGCTGAGTGTCAGTCGCAGAGTGAAATGTACTCGGTGTTCTTTCACGCATACTCAAATGATTTGAAGTTCATTATATAAGCTATGATAGCAAATATGCAAGTGTAAAACAATCTGCATGTGGTATAATGAATATAAATGAGGGAAGTGGGAAAAATTAGTAAATATAACAATCTTGACATTAACTCCTATAAATTATGTGCGTGTGTGTGTGTGTGTGTTACCTTGCCACATGGTTGATGACAGGGGAGAAGTTTGTGGGTCCGTAGAGCTGAACTGACTTCAGACTCTGGTAGTAGGCTTCCATCACACCGTCAATACCTGCACAGTACGGGTTCTGAGGGTTCCCATTCTAAGGAGAGGAAAGGAAACTTGATGAACAAAAAGACTTATATTCCAGTGTTTTGTCTTGAAACCGTAGCCATGTTTCCATCCAAATGTATTCCAAATCCGCAAAAAAAAATGCCACTGAATGTTTGTTTCCATCAACTACCGTTATGTAATTATTAATAGTTGGTTCATCAAGATATCATGGATGTATTATAGAGCCATGGGAGCGATGAGTGTTGGAGTGGAAACAGCTGATCAGTTATGTGAATTGTCAGAACTGTAGAAAAAGTGTTTCCATCTCCCATCAATCAACTATTTTTGAAAAAAGGCAATTTTCTAAATTGAGGAAGTTTTTTTCAAATTATGCCCTTCCCGTCAACCTTTTCTAATATGACACTTCAAAATATGCATAAAAATATGTTAATGGTAACACGGCTGGTGACATATTAATCTAAAGAAATTAATCAAAATTAGACTAAAAGCACATTATTAATATAAATATTTAAAAAAGTCAGAGCTAAACTGTAATGTGTACGTTCAACCATATCCATCAGTGCATGCATTCTGTTACTTTCTTATTAACTGTTACACAATGTTCCCCTCAACTTGTTTTATTCAGCTGTGGGATTTACTCTGAATTAAAGTTTGAAGACGTAACTTTTTTATGCAACACGACTTAAAGCGTCGTTCTATTGGGGTCACTTGAGGCTCTTGGTTAGTAGAGAATATTGTGTTCTTGTGTTATTGGCAAGCGTTGGTGTAAATTGTTGTTAAATTCTGCCCCCTCGTTTGTTGCATTAGAAGTGTCTTGAGGGATGTAATGTGACATTTTCATTTTGTCATTGGAATAAGAAAAATATACAACCAAGCAGACATAGATAACTAAAATAAAATAAAAAACATTGAGTGTATCCCAGAATATTTTGCCTTTGAGGAAAGATGTTTTTGAACAGAACTTCATCTTAACTGTACAGTACAAGAACCATGTACAATGAGTTATACAAAGATGTTCCTGGTTTTGATTAGTGAGTTATTCACTTTGTGTGAGGGTGGGTCAAAAACCCAATAAAGGGAAGATCTCCCTGTTTCACTCCCTCCTATTCCGGTCCCATCCCCTCTTGCTCATACCAAGGCAAACTCGTGGGAGATCCGTCCATCAGGCGGCAGCTTGGCTCCGAACCCTAGTGCGGGAAACATCTTATCGCTGTCGTAGTCCTGGATGATTTCTCCTACCGCCTTCAGGGCCATTGCGTAGGCATTCAGCTGGTAGGGACTCATGTAGTGGAGTGAGGTTGGCTGGGCTGGGTTACCTGTTTAGGGAACACAGAGGATAGTCAGAGGATAATCCTAGGGTATGAAAATGTGCCTTAACAATGGAAAGAGGTGATTTGGTCATTACTTTTCTGCTCAAGTGTTGACTACATGTTATAAATGTAGTCATTTAAAATAGCGTTTACATGTGTAAGGATCAGTGTTAAACTATGATGAAACAACAAGTAAACAAGCAAACTAACAAGCTGTCTTGACATGTACTACTTTGACATTTAAGTCTTTGTTATCGCCTCTTTCTACCTTAAACCAGAGGTACACCTTGTCTCTCTTTATATGCAGTCAATAAAATGCACTTGTTATGATGTGATTAATCTTAAAGATGCCATGGTTACAGTGTGGAGAATCAAACATGAACTTTGGACATTTTCAACATCCAAGTTTTCTCTGTTATGCGAGTACATGAGTTTTATAACCTTGCATCAAGATGTGACACAAATGTGAGCCCTTTCTAAAATAGTTTTGGAAATAGAATAGGTTGTATTTTTGGCAAAGAATGTGATCTTTAACAGTTAATTATACACAATTAAACTTAAAAATCATTATTGTAATATGAAAAAGTCAAGAATATCATGTTTGGAGATATTCATTTAACCATGAGAAAAAACGTAACGGGGTAATGAATTATCCACCTGTGTTGTAAATAATAAGAATGGTCAGAGGTTCTGTGGGTTTAATGGTGCTTTATGGGAACCACATTTTATTATTTGAATAGCCACTTGAACTTCTAAATGCTTTTTTTCCAATAGTTGCTGTTCAGTGCTTCAATATAGCAGCAAGTGCTTCCATAAAAAACAACAACAGTGGTTCTGTTAGTGATTTGTGCATTACGTTACTGATGTCTGCTTACTATATTAACATGAAGCTTTTGTAAAAAAAAATCTCCCTGTTCATGACGTTTCATATCACTATTCAAACTGGGTTTTTAATAAACTGCAGAAGTCTACTAGCCATCATTCTCAATTGAGATTTTAGTGTGAGCCAGACAAGATCAATTACACCTTTCCTCAGACACCAGCACATAGGATGTGGCTCTATTGCTGCCGCTGCCTGTCCTGCTCAGACTGAGCTCAAGGGTAGATGGATAACACAGTCCTTAATCACGGCCATCATAGCATGTTAGTGCACTCAGCTTTAGCTGCCAGGTGTGATGGAGAGGGCTATTACAAAACACTTGATTCCCCCATCTGCATATATTTGAATAAACGCTCCCTAGGTATGCAGCACACTGTGTGTGTCTTTATGTGAGTCTCTGAGTGTCTGTGCACATTCAAACTCTGTGTGTGTGCGTGTATGTGTGTGTTTGTGTGTGTTGCGCTCACCATTTGGGAAGCTGTTGAAATTCAATTGGCCACGGTAAAGTTAATCTGGGTCCTTAAGAAGACAAAAAGGAAGTGAGATGATTCATTAATCAACAATCACTCCCCCCCTTTCTGTTTCTCCTACACAACCACACACACACACACACGAGCACACACAACACACACACACCCCACACACACACACACACATATATCTGTGATCCATTGAGAATCAATCAGAACAAATGAACTGCAGATATAATCAGGTTAGCATGATCAATGTTTGCGAGTACAAACTGAGTTCCTCCTGCCCTTTAGCTGTGTCAGTGATAAAGAGACAGCAAGGCTTTCACACCAAACACAAGCAAGGCATTGCTCACAGGAAGGTTGTGGTTTTAAAATAACACAGCTACAGTCTGCTTAACTCTGACTTTGTTCCCAAAATTCAAAAAACTGGTACATTCAACTGTAACTGCAGCTCTTCACAGGGTGCATTCAACGGTGACATTTTACAAATGCTAAATTAGATGGACCAATGGAGACTTCAGATCATCTCAGGACTTACATTAACAGGCAAACAGGACTAACAATCTACAGCTATGCCTGAGCACAGTGGTGCTCTGAGTTTTGCTAACATCAGCATGCTAACATGCTCACAATGACAATGTTAACTAACATGCTGATATTTGACAGGCAATTGTCACGATCTTACTTTTGCATGCTAGCATGCTAACATTTTCCAATTAGCGCTAAACACAGAAAGGTGCAGGTATTCGGTATGTTGCAGGTATTTTTCATAAACTAAAGTACTAGACAAATAAAATATTTTGATGGTGCCGATTACACAACTAGTGGATGCATTACAATCCATTCAGTAGTTGTCGGGATCACCAAAGTAATTAGGATTCATCTTCTGGGCCTAAAAACACATTCTTCATATCACTAGTAAATATATTTACAAGCTAATTTCCGCATTTGATGCGTTTTGGTTCATGCTCTGCCTCACACAAACTGTATACTTAGTGGTTTCTGAAAGAAAGAGCAGACAAAAGATAGAAATGATGAAAAAGAAGCATTAGAGAGATGAAACATGACAGAGAGAAATAACACACACCACAGCACCCAGCATTAGAGTGGCACGTCTCTCTCCATCAAAACATTTCCTAACTTGTTAACCTGCAGGAACAGGATGTGGTTAAGCCCTCTGTCGGCCTGTCACAGCTTTTTCACACCAATCCTCGCCCGCTGCCACACACAAACACAAACACAATCACACACAGAGCCACCCTGTCTACCTAACACACATCTCCTGTATTCAGATAGTGTCAAACAGCCAGTAACTCATCATCTTTGTCACCTCGGCAGGCCATGTGAAGTGCAGGCGCTGTGCCGTCCAGAGGGGACAGGAAGAGAAGGAGAGACAGAGGTAGGAAAAAGTTCAAGAGACGTTTTATGATCAGCCCACATGTTTAGGGTTTTCAAAGCACAGTAAAGCCCAGAAGGAAGGTGTGGACCTGCCCTCTCTTGTAAGCATACAGATATTAGCCGGTTGCAGGTTGAAAGATTAGGCACACTGGGGAGAAAGTTGCACTACATTGTAAAATTTAGTTAGAATATTCTCTCCCAGCATATTAAAAAAAAATGCCAACAGAAAAGTGAGGAAACACTTATTTAGATAACTACTAATAATAAAGAGTAAAGGCAGTTTTTATATGCATTATGTATTTTGTTGGAAAAATCTCCATATCCTAATCTGACATAGCAAATAGACAGTTTCTCTTTAAGTTAGGACCCTGTTTGTAATGAAGCTGTTTTCAGTTGCTGTAGCTTAAAATGTTGCTGTTTAACTGATCCTCAGGAACACAATCTTGTCCTGAATGGGCTTAACTACTTTGGCGTGACACACAAAGCGAAGTTTGGCCCTAGTCTCAGAACTTTTCCAAGGCCTAGTGGCTATTTCTTTTTCATATTTTGAGACTTTTCTCTATTATGTCCTACACGTTTCATATCAAACATTAACTTTCTAATTAATTTTCTTAATTTTACATCAGTTAAAGTATTGCAAGGTGCCTCTATTAATGAAGAAAACTCTTACAGGATATACATTCAAATTTGAAAACGCCATCAGATAGTGTCCAAATTCACTGTCATCAGTTGATAAAAATGTTACGACAGTGACGCTTTACAAAGTGATAAAAGCTGAATTATACATTGCTTAATGAGGTGGTTCATTTCCTTAATATAATGAAAACATCAAGAAAATTCCAGTAAATTAGCTTTTCTAGGGGACAGCTGCAAGGACAAGGGAGCAGAGAGAGGAGATCTGAGTGAATTTTGGTCCAGTTCTCTACGCTGGCACAGACAAGCTTCAGCCTAGCAGCCTAAATTATGCATGCCCTCTTTCTCTCCCACCCAATCTCTCTCTGTCATGCACACACACACACACAAAGTTGAGAGAGGAACTCCAACTGTGTGAGTGTAAAGGGACAGCCAGGGAAACAAGGTGAATTGGGGGCGGACAATAAAAAATGACAAAAGTCGAGAGAAAAGACAGAAAGCAGGAGAGCAGCGCTTGATTGAATGCGTCGCTCTGCAACGTCAGCACAAGAAAACAACAATGAGGCACAAACAGAAAGTAAATGATGACAAAAGTGGTTCCAAAACTGAGGATACAGGCTGAACACTTTGCCAAGGTGGGCTGCAATTGTTGATTAACTGGTATTGATCATCAAACCTCTGCAGTTTGACTGTGATTACTTTGTGCCATGAGACTGTACAATTTACCATCACTGGGAGGTATCCTTGAAAGTCAATGTCAGAGTTTCTTGCTTTACAGAGTGAACATCACCCCCTAATGTTTGACACCATCATTCTGACACCAAATGGAGAGAATATTAATATCCAGATCAGAACACAGGACATTCTCCAAAAGGTCAACTCTATCCTCGGCATTAATCACACAAGAATTTGAGTGAGACAGTTATTGGGATTTTCCCTGGTGATGTGTGTATTTCTGGGTATCATATTGCTGGCCATTTTTCCAGTCTTTTCCTGCATTTTATATTCATTTATATATATTTGTACAATAAAACTGCTTGTATTGTTTGTAAAAGTGTCAAACCTAGCATGAAATCAACTGCTGCCCCTCCTTTTATCCTAAATATAAAGATATTATAAAGTTATTATAAATGATGACTAAAAATATAATACATTTAGTGTGGACTCTGGCGGCCCCTGTGGACAA